GGTTCATTGACCCCGACATCCGGGGACTTGTTCCCTGTCGAACCCGGAAGTATATACAGTTGAAAGTCGACAGTTTTGATCTGGTAGACAAAGTTTCTGCTCCTCTCTCCTAGGTGGGGTATGCTGGATTTGTGGCCCTAGCGAACCGCCCTTCTTGGGTAAGTTGTATCTATAGAGACTTTCGGTGTCTTAGAGCGTGACTAGCATCTACTGGAAGGTCTGAGTGTAGCTTAGTAGGGAAACAAAGGGATAAACTACAAACAAACCATTGAAAATTATATATGGCACCACCGCTTCCGGAGATTTGCATATTTTTTTCGCTAACTAAAGAAGCGGGATTTCGAGTTAGCAAATATCATCAAGGAAGTCGTACTCATGGAAATACTATGCTGATGACGTTAGCAAGAACATCACGAGTTTGAAACCTGCATGTTGTAAAAGAAGCCAAAAGAAGGGTCCAAATACCACAGCTTGTCGAGAGCCCGCTTATACTTACTCATGCGTGTAAAGTTACAATTATTCATTTGTCATAATGAACTCTGGGGAAAATACTTGATTTTGACAATTTAGAAATCTCCCACAACTATTCATGTGACGTAATAATATTTCACAACATGTTCAAAGACGTGCCTGTCTTTAGTCCACACCACATTATTACTGGAACAACTTTAAGTTTATCAACAGAACTTCCTGTCATAATCATTTCCCATGGGAGGACTGTAGACTTGACCACATGGGAGATGACAGAGTTAAAACACATGTGTAAGATAATTGTGATTTGGGTTTAAAGTGAAACAACAACATTTCTTCACCAAGTTTCTTTTCTTGTTTGAACTTGTTTCTTGGTTGAGAGAGGAATTCAGAATATGCCTCTCTACCAATAATGTGGCCTTTAGAGAGTGGCATGATTTCCTGGGGAGGGATTTTAACTTCATCTCCTATGAGTCATAGATAATTACATCATTCCTGAGTTTTTGGAACAAACCATTTTGTCAGTTGTAGAACAGATATTAATCCTACAATGTCGTTTCAACATTCTTCATCATTCTCAAGTCAAAAACTACATCATTATCTTGCACACAGAGCCAGCTAAATTGGTTGAAAAGTTTGTGGCACTATTTGTATGCATGTACCATGGTATATAGGTTGTCACTATTGCACCACTTAAAATGGGTGCAACCAATTTGTCCATTCCATAGATGCCTCTCTTTTATAGTCTGGCCAGCCTCAACCCAACAACAGAATCTTTTGTACATGTATTGTAAAGCAGAAATTGTGATTAGTTGATACTTAAGTTACTGTACTAAAAGGTATGTCCACTGTTCTGCATATAAATACATTTTTGTATCTGTCAACATTATCTAATATGTATAAACGTATTTCCTATGCTGTTCATGGTAAGCAATGATCTATCAAACCAGGACTGACTATTCATGCTTTGAATAATCAGACAACACTGCAAAACATAGCACGTTCTAAAGATTTTTGCAGTGTATACATATTTATATCAAGGCTGGGTTTGGCAAATCAATTTCCCAAAATCTATACAATATATACATGTAATCTAATTTTTTAACTCAAAATGGGTAAGACCAAACTCTAACCTCCTTTGTAATACGGTATTGAGCATGAATTCCAGAAATGGGTATGTAGATACAATACCTGTATTCTCAAGTAGCAGTCAAAACAGATGTGAATTTTACTTTCCTTTTCAAGTTGTACTTCTCTCTCAAACTTTGAAAGTGAAATGTTTTCTCTTCAGACTGTTAACAATGCCTTACTTGGACCGGCGTGGACGGACCTGTGGATTTCTGGACATTGAGGAGAAGGAAAGGAGTGGAAAGTTCTTACGGCGCTACCTCCTCTTGGACAAGGCAGCTGGACTGCTGGAGTATTACATGGACAATCCACTGGTGAGTTACTAACTGTTGTTGTCATTCTTCCTTGAACAGACTTGCAGTGACAATGAGGATACAATTCTGTCATTACCTGTGTATATATTGTAAATTATGAAACTTTTGCACTGGTTTTATCTTATGATGGCAGGAAAAGTTTATTGTGTTCTAAATTCGTAGTGGGAGGCATATTCATGGTGTCATGAATTTGCAGAAGAGAGGTCACTGCAAACAGTACCAAAATAAAATCACTGAAAGTTTCATGACAGTATGTATGTCCCTCCATATTCCTTTGCCAACATGATGAAGCTATTGTTTAATCCCATCCTAGGTGCTCGAAATGTATTTTCACCCTAAAATTAGTGGCAACTGGAAATTTTTGTATGCTATTACTTAAAAAATCACCCATGCTGTATTGTGATGGTCAAGGATGCCTAATTGTCAGTAAACACAATTATAATTGCCCTTGGAGGAAAACATTGACTGCCTGGATCCTTGCTGTGGATCTGATCTTTTTCCTGTTTACAGTCTTTGGCAACACAGCAGAATTAACTTAATTGGCAGGTAATCCACAAGGACTTCCTGCAAGTTGTAATTGATGTCCTGTTGTTACCACTGGGAATTATAGTACTGTACTACTATGCTACTAGTAAACATGGCCTTATGTTGCTAGCTTAGTACTACTCAGAGTAAGTTCATTTACACTATATGTACTTGCTGCTAGCTGCTTGTAGGATAACATGGTGAATGAAACATTTTAGCCTGCATAAGTATACATACATAAACAATGACATTACTCCGTTTATCTTGATTCGGAAAGATACAACACTTTTCACCTATATAAGTATATTGGACCATGGCTATGTAAAAGATCTGTTTCCAGTGGCTCCTTTCTGGTTAGCATCATACCACATGTATCTTGTTGTCCTGATAAGAAAAATGAATGAAACAATGTAATATGTCCTTGTAGTTAGCTGTTTATTTTAGTGGGAGCACTAAGTCTACTAACTATATATAGCTGTCAATTAGCAAGGGCTAAAAAGTAAAATAAGGGAGGAAATGATATATCTTCATACCCTTGGTAGTATGCCCTTGGTACTCACTATTAACCCTCCAGAATGGATGGTGATGAGTATTGGGTAACTCATTTGATGACTCAGACTCAGACATGTCTGCCTTCGGGCCAATATATCAGGAAAAGCCCAGGCATCTATTTTCATGATGTTGGTACCATGCACGGTAAGATAATTTGTATTATTGTAATCATGTATAAAATAGAGATGGGCCTAATGTGAGTTTTGAGATACTGATATTCCTACCTCTTTAGTCTGAGGTAGGCATACATGTAAGGTAGCCTGGATGTCAACCTTTTTAATTTATCTTTCGTGTGCTCTCAGTCTCACGGTCGCTTTCTGGCCAAAAGGAATTCTAAGGGAAGGGAAGCGGCCAAGAGAGCATACAAAAATGAAAAATGCTGACATCCTGGCTAGACCAAAGACCCTGTAGTCATGTCTATAGAGTACATGTATATTGTGAGGTTTCCCTAAATGGGTTTATTGTTGTGGTGGCTGAGGCATTTCTATTATCAGATTTGCTAATCAAGCTGGGAGGCTTACCAGAGGAAAGGAGATAGGGAGGCTGAAAAAGAAGGGTTTTATCACTTCAAGCTGTGGTCCAAGGAAGTGAGGTCTGGAGATAACAGAGTTGACCTCCAGACATGATCATGGTAGCACTGTTGGATAGGACAGTGTCCTTGTGCATGTTAACCTTGGAACCAGACTTTCTTATTAACTGGTAATGTGGAAAAATAAATGGGTACACTTATGAAACAACCATTATCGTTTTTAGTGCAAGCTATCACAAATCCTACATGCACACAGCAAGCCTGGATTCCAGACTGTTTTACGAGCCTCTACCAGGCTTCGGGATGCAGCTGGAAAGAGTAGAAATTGGCCAAATAGAAAGATAACATGCCCGGAGAGTTGGCTATGTTTTACCACAGATACGCTTCCAAAAGTTCTCCGTTTCAACTTTGGTCCCCTTGCAGAAATTTGCCAGATCTTCTTACAGATTTCTTTTATTCCAGAACCTTCCTGACGGAACAGCACCAGTCTGCCAGATCAACCTGTCATATATACAGAATGTACGTATACATACACCAAGTCCAACAAACTTTTCCCTTTTTACTTCTTAGTACTGTACGGAATTCTGAACTGTTGGTTTGTGTATCTGTTTGTCTGGATGTGGGTGGGTAAGATTGACAAGCAGAATGATAGGTCAAAAGGTTATACACCTGAAATGGGCTGAACTTGAAGGTCACAAAATACCATACTTTCCTGAAGTCTAAATTCTTTTATTTCTTATACATGTACATTTGTAGTAGAAATGGTTGCCAATGGCAGGTTTACCTCTGCCATGGCTAGATTTAGACGTCTTAGTTCCTTGTCCAGAAATACAAAATTAATGTAGTTTTGTTTCCTTAAATTCACCACAGGTCTTTGATGCAAGAAAACAGAGGCCAAAGATCGAGTTTTGTTTTGGTGAGTAATTTCTATGTAACCTGTATTAATCCATATTGTTAGTGGAGTAAGGGTTTATAAAATGTAAGATGTGTTAAGTGACAATTCAGTACTACTAGTCAACTGTACGCTCTGTATGAAGCTCTAAAAAATTCATTGTATGTAGCAGAGCTAATACATATTATATATACTGGTATTTATACTAGTACTCATTTGAAATTTGACTGACTGGTCATGTGAATGGTTGATGTATGGCATAATAAATGGATTCTTACCCCTTCATACAGCAATCCTGGCCAACAGCAGACACTACTTCATGCAGGCTAATGATGAAAATGACATGGATGGCTGGGTAGACAGCATCAACAATGCCAGCAAGATTACAGTGAGTCTTTAGATGTATCCTCTCAGAATTTTGTATTAGCATGAATTTAAAACTATGGTATATGAAAGGTTGTCTCTTCAGACTGTTTGTACTTGATACAGAAGTATTGTTTTGGATGGCTGAGCTTTGTGTTTGCTCATCAGTTTGTGTAGACATTAGGTTGACAGTACTTGGGTGGAGGGAAGATTGACAGGCAGAATAACAGGAGGTCAAAGGTCTCAGAATCAGACCTGGAGCCAGATTTAGGGAATTCAGGAACACAAGGATTGCATTAACATCCCAAAAGTCTGAAAGCTTTGATTTCTTGTTTTTTCAATGTTCCAGGTTCCAAAGAAGAATACACAAAGGGTAACAAAGCAGGAAGAAAATACAGAGAGAGTGCCATGTTCGGGTGGTTACCGGGCCGAGATTGTTGGAGGAATGGTGGTAAAGACACCAATAGAGGTACCTGCCAGTTATACCATTTGTACTTCTGAGACTTTGTTCTAGGAAATATCAAATTTATGCTTCAAGTACATGTTAAAAATGTTACTTGTCAAAGGTGACACAGTAATAACAGTGGGTTATAAATGATTTGTGTCATGAGCCAGAGTAGTAATTTGAAGCAGTAATTTAAACAACATTCAATACAAGATTTTATTTCTTCTGTTGACAGATGAGTGACAGTGATAGTGAGGCAGAAAATGGGAAAACCAAAGTGTCCCCATCCACAAGGAAAAAACAGGCCTTGGGCCTGAAGCCGGTCAAGACTGGGTTCTGTGTCAAGCAGGGTGCTGTGGTAAGTTGTTTTAACTTTCAGTAAACCCACAGATTTTCACATACCCACATCCCTATTTACTGTACATAAACTACTGGAATGACTTATTTTATCTAGGACACAATTACTACCGTATTTTATTCATCAGGTCAATAGTATGGCATTTACAGATACAATGTATTACCGGGTACTGCTTTTATAGGTGAAGAACTGGAAAAGGAGATACTTCGTTTTGGACCATGAAGGTCTCTCCTACTACAAGTCCAACACAGACACAGTGAGTATTATAGGGGGTTAGTGTAACCTTGAACTCAACCTTGGCTAGAACTTGAAGATGGTAATCTGTAATACTTGTTTAATGTATATTAATTTTGATTTGTCTTTGCCTTTTTAACTTGTCCTTAGTACTTACAATTATTGTCTTGAAATTGTGTAGTACATGTATTACTTACACGTACATGTCCAATTTTTATATAGGCTAGGCCTTTGTGTTACTATAATATTGATAATTTTCATACTAATGTCTTGTGTTTCTAGGATCCCATTAAAGTGATTTCCCTACTTGATATCCTGCATGTCAAGTCCTACACTGGGTAAGCTCTTGTCATAGCTACTATTGTCTTCAGTCAAACAAATCATTGGAGTAACTGTGTAAACTTTTAATAGTTGTTTTCTTAACATCTAACAATCTTGTTTTCCTATATGTATTGCCTCTGTAATAAAATGTTTTCAAAGCTGATCTAATGCTTACCGGGGAACAAACCTCTCTCACTTGGTCTCTTATCAATATTCTTATAAGCAGGTACCTAAACTACCACAACTGACCAGAACTGGTTGTAATATTATATACAATGCACAATGGGTCAAAGAGCTTTCTTTCATGTGTTGGATACTAGTACATTGTCTTTGCAATTATGAATAGAAGTCTCAAGTATTACCAGAAAAAAATGTTGGTCACTCCAAATGTTCTTCCTTCACAGGGATTTGCCACGAGACAACCTGTTTGAAGTCATCACAACCAACAGAACTTTTCTAGTACAGGTACATGCCCTCACCTTTCCTAATGGAAATACCCTTTTGTTTCAATTCAATTCCATTTGCCACGGGGGGAAAGCCAAGGATTACATACTTCCCAGAAGCCTGTGATTTTTTTATGTCCAATCTTTACTTTATTTGAATGGGGTTCAGTAATCGGGTGGGGGTTTTGTCAAAAACTGTGCTCAAAGTCTGTCTGAGAAGTCATTAGAACTTGTTTCTTGGCTCTGCAGGCAGACAGTCCAGAAGAGATGCATTCTTGGATCCAGGCAATCACAGATACAGTCAACTCCTTCAGGAAGGAGTGTCCCATCCAGAGAAAAGGGGTATGTGACTAGGTTTGTACACCACACATCCCTTCAGGTGTGCAGTGATCTAACATCCTCTGGATCACAGAATCATGGGGTGAAACACTTTTCGTCTTCCATATACCTCAAACGAATCAAAATTCACAAATGGCACACCAATGGTAGTTCACCAGTAAACTAACACTTTGATGAATGATGTGATTTTACTTCTTGTGAAATGAAGACAATTTAATAGTACTACATTTATGTCATGAAATATGTCCCAACAAAATTACTTATATATACCTCCTTATTTTATGTACATTTATATGACAATTGGACTTCCTTCTGTAGTCACTGGGATGATGTTGTAGTTTGTAGGGAAATTGGAAGTGTACTTTTTGTAATTACAAGACATTTGTACAGATTGACAATTTTGCAGAGCTTTTCATACAATTTTGTGTGTTTGATTCTGGGATTTGTCTTTAAAGATGGGACTTAAATGATTTTATACAATTTATTGTCCGATAATCCCACTGGGTATATTAACAGTGTGTTTACTAATCTTCAAATTATTTACCAAGTTATTGAATTTGTATGGCTTGCTGTCAAACAATAAATTAAAGAGCTTGTTACTTTTTGTCTCCTACAGTCCATTCCAGAATCCCGTAGTAGGAGAACAAGACACCACTCTCCGGACAGCAGGCAGACCCTCCCGAGGCACTTGCGGGGGACACAGGTGTAACTGCTGAGTGCATTGGGAGAGGCAGCTAACTTTGGTGTACATATGGGACATGTGGCATTCCTGATTGACTTCTACAACATGCTGCAAGGCATAAGATGTAATGATGATGCAGACTTGTCAGCACTCCATTTCACATGATTTGAAATATGTGTTAGTCATTGTGCAGTTAACAAAGCTAGGTTATTTTCTACCTATTACGGAACCAGCAATTTTAGTCTGTAAAAAAGTCAGTTGCTTGGACAATTTCTTTTATTACAGTTGCAGCAATAGTTTTAAATCTTTGAAAGGTAATCATTGTTGCAGCATTTAAAGCTTTTTTCCTTCAAAGCTGCAGTCGAAATGATATTTTATGTTTGTACTAGTTTTTTTAAAGATTGCTTTTAAGAGAATTTGCATTTTTCTTTTCTGCTTTTTGGATTATGCAGTTCAAATTAATATTCTGCAGCAATTTCGCTACCTTAGTCTTATGTGTACATAGTCATATAGAACAAGTTAATTCAAAGATCCAAAACTCTTCTTTTATTGTATTAAGTTTGAACCACATTGTTTGCTTTGCCATGTATAAGTGCAGTTGCATAAGTTCTACATTTCTCCAGACCACTTAAATAATTACACAATTTCCTTTGATGTACTGGTACACATGGAAATAATGCCACTTTTGGTTAGAGAAAATTGTGTTTGAAAGAGGAGGGGCCATACTGGTATTACTCATACTTAGTAACAGGGCTACTTATGTCCACAATACAAACTTCATGTTTTTTTTTAAATACCAGTTCATTTTGGAGACTGAGGAATAAGGTTTTTGGTGAAAGTAATCAGTTTAACAATGTCAGAACTTTTTTCATCAATCATTGCATGTTGTACATACGTTGAATTTTGTTGTCTACTATTATAGATGTACATAAGATTAAGTGGGTTAAAGGACAGGGATGCTACAGAATACGATTTTTATAGAATCTGATGTTTTTGTATCAATTGTTTCTTTGATGTTAAACTCCAAGTGTATTTCTACTAAACCAAGATTAAGAAAGTTCACATTGTTTGGATGTTACACAGTATATGTCTGATCATTTTGACTGTATCACATTAGGAGTTGATGATATTGTTATGTACTAAGGTGTATGTACTAATGTTGTGTTCTTATATTCCCACGTTCTGTAGTTATGTAGATGCAGCTTTGCTGTTGTTGCCCTTTTGTTACATCAGTTCAAACCAACTGTCCATTATTTGTTTCCACCAAAGTTTTTGCCTTTCATTCAGTCAGATACAATCTTGCAAGCGTAAATCAGTAGCCTAAATGGTACATATTAAACTAGAAAAGAAAAATGTACCAAACATAGCATTGCATGTGTGTAATCTGAAAATAATAAGAAGTAGCCTGGAAACCTGTCCTGTCATTAGTAACTACCAAGGAACTAAAGACCAAAGTGATATTGGATGAACTTCAGGATAAGTAAGCAATGGAGCCAACACAGTTAAACTAAACTTAAATATACATGTATACAACATATTCTGAATTTTACAAATGCTGTAAATACAATCATGTAAGTGAACCTTTTACATTTAATTTCTGGAAATCACAAATAAGGTGTAAAATCTAACCATCTTGTTAGCATTAAACATGTGCAACAATTCATTTCAGGTCTCCTTTACTATGAGTACACGTAGCACACATACAAGGTCTACCATCCTGTACTTCTGTAAGTCAGTACAAATAATTCTGGCAACATGCGTTTCTTGCTACTTGAATTGAAAGGCCAAATGTTATGAATTATCAACTTAGAAAAAAGCACTGTATCTATAAATTCATGGACTACATCAGTTTTTACATCCAATTAGTCAGGGTGGAGCCTTGAATAGTAAGTCTCAACAGAAAAGGAACTGCCAGGGTAACTGGAAATTTTATCAACTGATCTTACCAGCCAGTCACAGCCCTAGGATTGTTTTTCTGTACCAGAATGGAACTAAATATCAGTCCTTTATACCAACTTGGCCCTATATAGCAAGGACATCATACTAGTATTGCCAGACTGGGGGGTGGGGGTGGCAGCACTAGCCTTCTAAGTACGGAGAATACAGCAGGGGAGACTCTGGAAAGATGAGAGAATCCAAGTTGTCTCCATCAGGTACTGCACAGTCACCAGTGTCTCTTTCTGCTGAAAAACAGTTATATTCTTCATGATCAATGATACATTAATTAATGAGCCTCTTAATTTTCAAAACTTGCAATGGAAGATAGATTTGCTTTCCTGGAAGGCAACTTATCTAAAAAAAACATGAATTAAATCCAGTACTCTAACCTTGGTACTTCTGAGTCAATGGAAAAGGTGGTTCAGAGTCAGATGAGTAGTTGTCATTTACAACCTCCTTCCAAAAGGTGGGTGTTGAAGGATTCTGTTTGGAAGCTTCAAAGTAGTCAGTTGTTTCACTTCCAGTAATGGATAATGGAATTCTGGAAGAAACTAAGGTCTCAAGTCCAGCTTTTGCTCTAGATCCTTTTTGTACAAGGCCTTCAGCATGAGAAAAGACCTTGAATCCACAATGTTCATCTTCATCGTCATTAGGTTTGTAGCTCATCTTGTACTTGCATTTTTCATCACTGCTTCCTTGATCGCTGAGGGCACCTAAAACAGCCTTGGAGTTAAACACAGGGCTTGGTGGATCGTCCTCTTCCCCTGGTAACGAACTGTGAATGATCTCTTCCACATTATTGTTTTTTACATCATGTTCAACACTCAATAACTCTTCCTGTGGGGGGATTTCAGAAAAAGCCTTGTATTCACTGATGGTAAGATCTTCCTGACCTTCCCTTTCTCTTTCAACCAAATTCATATTTTGAATGGGACAACTATAAGGGTTAGCTCTGGGTATATCCTCTTGCAGCACAGGACGAACTGTCTCATTTTCACCAATTCCTTCCTTGCATGTGATGCCCTCAGCTGTAGCCCTCGTGGAAGAGACACCACCGTTTCCATTTTTCCAGTTTTGGTTATCCTCTGTTCTCTCATCAGATTGCTCAAGACCAAGCCCTGCACTGACTGGATTCTGTGGACTGGTACATGTATTATTATCATTTGTAGACAGGTAAAGTGAACTGTCAGCAACTTCTGGAGACTTTAGAGGACTTCTGTTGCCAGTGTTTTCTATACAGGAAGTAGTAAAAGAGGATGAGTTGTTTGAGGTGGTCTGTTGTGGTCTATGGAACATTGGGCTGCTTTGAGTTGTTCCCTTGTATGACTTGAATGAGTGGTATCTTGTCATCGCTGGCTTGTTATAGTAACCCCACCTGGCTGCAGGAGAACAAAACAGAATTCTGAACTTCTTGTAACCTTCATGCAAAAGATTGCACTGCAGGTATCTAACTAGCACATAACACTCTCAGTCCTATCGAGCCATGGGGAATGCAAAATAGGAAGCTCTCAGAAAAAGTGAACTGTTATTATTGTAAGACCCCAAAGATAACCCCAGTAGAATATATTACGAGTTATTAGGTGGCAATTCGAACAGAATTCGAACAGAATTTCTTAAAAAAGCATTTAACACACAACATCCACCTAAGAGACAACAATAAATCAACAAAACCAATTTTACTATTGTCTGTTTTCCAGTGTTGTTTTATCTACCTTTTTCATTGAGCATGCCATCATCTTGCCGGCAATGTTTTGCTGCCAGGCTGCAGTGCTGCTGCAGTTGGCCTGAATGGAAAGTCTCTTCCAAGTCCTCTGGAAATTCTACGGCTGGCAACGAAAAAACAAATTTGACCTTCTTTGAGTCGAAAGTTTTACCATCTTTCAAAAGGAGGATTGAGTGACTCCATTGAATTAAACCTTATAATGCTGTCACATGGAAATTGGTAAAGAAATTCAATCTAAAATGTTTGAAAAGGCAAGAGAAGCCACTGGTCAGTAAGAGATCACAGGATACTGCAAATCTTACGTTCTGCCTTCATGCCTTTTGCCATACATCCACCGTCCTCCTCTGACTCTCTTTTTAAAGGTGTCGTTCTGATGGGAAGGTCCAAGTGCTTGCTGGTGTAATGATGGGGAAACACAGTTGCAATAGGAAGTGTGGGCTTTTGGACATTCACCGTTTTCATCTTGTACATTCTGTAAAGATAAAATACAGACCTAGAATCAAAGTAAAACAAATGTTTGAATTACTTTTTTTTGCTGAAACTAGAATTTTTTTGTCAATTTCCAATTGTAAATGTAATGCTTAATGTTGGTTTGAACTTGCTTCTGTCTCATAGGCGACTGCTAAAAGTAGAGCAGACTACAATAAGTTAGCAGTGAAAATCTCAGTGGGTATTTGATTGACTGGGTGAGCAAAAGGGTGTTATCGTGATGATAATCCTACATCAAACAAAGGACTCACATCCTTGCCATCAGTCTGGATCTCTTAGGCTTGGTGTATGGCATCTTTCCTCTGGACCTATCAGCATGATGGAGAGTTCAGTAATCAGTAAATCACTATGCATGTTAAAAAGTGTGTTATACATAAAAGGTGGCTCCAATAAGTTTGGGTATTAGTGATGTACAACTCTATAATATGTTAAAAATGTTGGGACTTCAGAAATTAGGAATTGTCCCTGTAGCTGTGGAGGTACGCATTACCTTGAACTGAGATAGAGATGACATTCAACAGCTCTTGTGTCTTCAACAGCCATCCAAGGAGAGCAAAGTCCTCTTACCCGGTGGGTTTTCTGGATTATCTGGGAAAATCCAAAAGCTTGATGTGTGATCTCTCATACCTTCAATCGTTAACGTTAGAAGGTAAGGAAAATGGTGTCAACGAGACAATCAGACATTCTCACAAAATATGATGAGGAGTTATGGACCTAGGCCTGATCAATCAACTGATAAATCTGCCTATCATGAAAATTATTTAGGACCTGATAGTTGTCATTTTGCAACAAAAAAGGCTATTCAAGATAACGGCAACGACAACGATCAGCTACCTGAACGAACGACTGAACCTGTCAGTAGTAGTGAAAATGTCGTCTGCAAGTGAAGTAAAAAAATTCAGTGCAATCTGACGCAAATTCTCATGAGGACCTCGACAGGTGTTTATGACAATTAATTCCATGTCAGATAACTGTTAAATTTAATTCCTACCAGTAACAGCCTAAATCAAACACAGATTCATAAACGCATATTGTGAATCACCGACTTCATTGAGGTTTCTTGCAGACGAACTTTGTCTCTCGCCGTCAGGTCATATTTCCCGCCATTTCTGTTGATCACGTGGCCGTGTCAGCTGACAGTAATCGACCTTTTTCACAAATATTTTTTTTTTAGTTTTGCATTTGCCAACTTATATGTACAAAAAACGAAAACGAAGGTGTTGTTGAACTAACTTTTCGAGCTTCTTTTCTTTTCTTCACGGACAAAATTCTTGTTGCGTGACGTCAGACCAGTTCGCGCCATTTGTCACGTGAGCAATGAACAAGATGGCGACGTCCATGTTTTGAAAATTTCCTTGTTCACTTTTTGTTAGAAAAGATACAGAACCAAAAGGTGGTTTGATATGAAGCTGACACGAGATGAAGCTTATAAGGTCCTGGAACTACCGCTCGGTAAGTGCAACGTGTAATATCTGTGCAACGTGTAACTTCAACATTAGAATTCAAAGTTTTCCGTCGCCTGAGGAAGTTATCAAATTCCTCAGGGCAAATTTTGTGGAGCAATTATTATTTGATGACATCTTTCTTAAAAGGGCCACATTTGCATGATAAATGGTTTATTATTGTATAATGTTCTGTAGGAATGTTCCAAGATTATCGAGACAGTGCCATAGTTTCAGTTATGGCGAGAGTTGAACTCTTGCCTTGAAGTTTTGAAGGAGCGTAGTTGTTTGTGGCGCATGATAGTCTCTTGCATGATGCAGTTGTGAAACTGGGAATTTGAATTTTGAAAGACCCCAGGGTTCTGCAGAAGTGATGATACAATCAATTTACGCAAGACGCACAACACAACGAAACATAAACATGACAGAAGATTAAAATCAGTATAAAAGTACTGTAGACGTACTCATAGTTTTGCTCTTTTCAGATGACCTCATAGTTGGTGAAATTTAAAGGATAGTTGCAAGTGAAAATACCTTCACTATATCAGGTGCCTTTTTATTTGGAAAGAAAGTTACCAAAAGATTCACACCACAGTGTAATTTCCTGATAGCAAAAATTTCTAGTGGTTTGCAGGTCTGCCATCAGCGTTTATATATGCATTATTAGAGATGCACAGGATGAGGATGTTGCAAATAAATGCTTTGTCATTCTGTATAAGCATATGGATACCCTACTGATTGATCAATTATCTTTAGTCATTAGAAGATCTAGAGAATGTTGGAGATCTATTAGTTTGTACCATGTCTGTATACTGTTTTGTATTTAGATATAAGATATAATGTACAGTAGTATTTTCTTTTGTAAAGCCAGTCATTGGATGGTTATTCCAAGTTGATTGAAGGCTATCATTGATAACTTCTACCTGTTAGACATGACCATGAAAATCAGACGATCTGTGGAAAATATGTCTTCATTTCTGTTAACAATGGGAACCACTGTAGAAAATTGTTGGCTCAAAATTTGTACCCTTGTCAGTGCTTTGTTCTTGAGCTATTGTTTTTTTCCTTTTTGTTATTATTGGAAAACTTAAAGATGTCAGGTCTTAGAGCCATTGTTATTCTCCATGTGAGACTTCTTGTGTTGATACTGTGAGCTTTTCTTGCACAATAGTAGACAAAAAACAACATCAATAATTCACAATCACAGTCAGTCAGCATTCATTTTAACATGATTGTTTGGAATGCTTTCACAATAGAAGATCTTGCTTAGTTTTTTTTTAATCCTTTTTACACAAAATGGGTCTAAGTTGTAAATTTATGTATACTGGTAAACAATAGAAAATGAAATAGAATGAAAGACAATTATTATTATACAGTAGATAGTGCAGTGCTGTTGGCCTGTAGTGACAAAGGTAGAAGCTGTCTCATGAGATCCAGTTGTTTTGTGTAGCCCCAGGACATGTCATGCCATGTATGTATTGCATAATACCAAGGACATTATGAATCATGATGACCTTGGCTTAAATAATAGGCATCAAGACAAAGGTATTTATTAGGTCCATGGTTTGTCACAATTGACATTATTATGACTAGCACATGTATTTACTATTTTCCATTGTAAGACAGGAAAGTAGAATTATTGATGAAGTTTTAAAATAGCTTCAAGCTTTCTCCATATTTGTAAACTGATAATAAAACACACGCAAATGAGTCACTCATCATCATATACATTCCGATTCCTTTAGAATGTTTATTTATTTATTTATTTTCCACATGCAGGAGCTGACGGGGACTCCATCCGCACCAGTTACAAGCGTCTGGCGTTGAAGTGGCACCCAGATAAACATGCCAACGACCCAGAGGCCACAAAAGTAGGCCCTTCCTGTGTGCATTCTTTGAAATTTTGACAGTCTTTCCAACAGAGGTTGTGTACACACAGAGCATGCCAGTCTTGCCTGAAATTTGTTCAGTGGGTCCGTACCCAACATGTGTACCAGAATGTCAAGTATCTACTTGGTATGTCAGATATCTAGATTATCAAGGTGACACATAACTGGGACAGTAAGTTAGCATAGAACAGAAAGTTCTCTTCCATTTATCCATAAGTGTCTCCACAAGTTCCTGTCTCGCATGACCAAGGACAGTTCATCACCCTCTAGACCTGTGTTCCCCTCAATCACCCTCTAGAGAAGGGTAACCACATCTACGATTTTCCTCTGGTGACCAAAGGAGAACCAACCTGCCATTTCCTCAAACAGAACAGAAAAATTTCTTTGTACCCATAGATAATAAGGATTGTCAGACTTAATTATGACTATAGAAAAAAACCTAGGGTTTGATAAGCAAAGTGTTTCAACTTTCAACTACTGTGTAATGTTTCATTCTCACATGGTATGTAGTGAATTATACTGTGTAAAGCCTATGATGTTACAAGGGTAAACACTTCTTTCTGGCTTGGTATACTTTTAGTACCATTAGAATTTATCTGATCATTATTATATAGTTCCTATTTTAAACCCAGTACCTGTTGTTCTGTTCACACTACAAGAGGCTTCATGTTAGGGAATCTTACCAGTTACAACAGGTGAATGGGAACCTTATGGAAGGTGTATCTTTCCTGCAGAAATTTCAAGAGGTGTCTGCTGCCTATAAAAGACTGTCAGCAGCTGATGATGATGACAGTGACTTTGAAATGAGTCCTGTGAGTTTTCTTTACTTATCAGTTGGTCTAAGAGTCCGTAAGGTTGAGTTACTAGGTTGAATTTGATATTGTCAATTGTCAACATACCTGGGTACAATGTAATGTTTAGCCTCACAATTTCAATCAGACATGTAGAATTATTGACGGCATTCCCTGCATTATATTGAGATACTGGTACTTTACCCTGCTTATCTATCTATACATCTGGATGGCAGGCAGTATTACTAGTATAGTAGTATTTAGTGTTAAGGAAAATGTGTTAAGGAAAATCTAATGCCTGTCACCTTTGCTTTAGTTTGGACAGGTTATACTTTATCTGTACAGTTTATGGATGCACTAGTACTATAGCTGGCTATTCTGGATTTAAAGTAACTACTAGTAGTATTATGTGATACACATTGTGTATAACAGCTTTTCCAGTGGTGATAATTTCTCTGACATTACACATTTCAGCAAGACATGTTTGACCTGTTTGCTCGGATCTTCATGGCCAGTCGACTCAGTAAGTACTGCAGTTCAGGTTGAACCTGTTTGAGGGCGCACTGCACAGAGCAATCTAAAATGGGAGCACTCAAGTAGCCATCCTTTCCTTACACTGAATAAAAATAGTTGATGCTTATTAATCTGCCTACCAGTAAGAATGTGAAATGGTGGAAAAACTGTAGAAACAGTATTTTTAAGTTGTTCCTATATTGGATGAAAGGATGTTCATTCTGACAGTAGCTCTGCCTCACAAGCAAAAGTTCATAGACAGTCACTTGATATATTTTCTCGTCTGTTCACAAACTGATAATCATGTCGATGATGTTACCTGTAATAGTAACCCCTGGATGTGAACTTCTCACACCAGATATGTTCGTGCCTCTAGGTGGCTTCAACCCTTATAACGGCCACTTTGAGTCTGACAGCAGTGACTACACGTCTGATGACGGGGACACTGACATTCTCAACATCATGGCGGACAAAATCAAACAGAGAGTAGACGCACGGAGATTCAACAAACAGCCGGGTAAGCTCATTCTGTTGTTCTTCAGTTATTTTTTACCTCGTGTAAGTTTCGTTTTCAGTGGCTCTCAGACTCTTAGTGAGTGTATTTGCTTGTATGTCTGTAGTTGTCATAAATTTGAGTACTGTACAATAGAGTGGCAGGAAGAGAGGAGGGAAATGGTGTAACTGCAGATTGTCAGAGAGATCAAATTGGAGGTCAGTGCCTTCTGCAGGCTGGGGGAAGTAAATAATACCAAGGTCACCTCATTTCCTGTCTTCAGTTTCCTGCTATATTCACCTCTGTTGCCCCATGGAAGTGGGGGATGCATATACAGAATCAGCTTAATAAAACAAAAAATTCACCAGTGGAAATACTTCACGTAGATATGAAAACCTTGATATTTTTTTCATTAAGAAATACCAATGGTGTGTGACTCAGACAGGCCAGACGGCATACATCTAGATTGCTATTTTGACAGTATTATATTTTTGAGCAGGCATCAATAATGCTTTTATCAATTTTCTACAGATGTTGGCAGACCAGCTCATAGATTGACAGAGGATGTAAGTATGAAATAATAATTCAACTTTTTTGTGAAGGGCTAAAAAGTCATCTGTGGCATTGTTATTATTGTGTATTCTTGATATAGTGTCCTTGGTTCTCCTTAACTTTGGAATAAACCTGAAAGTACAAAATATGTTTGACATGTTTCTGAATATGCAAGAGTATATACACAAGATATACAAGATATACATACAAGAGTGACTGTTGATGCATTTTACTGAATACTGATAATTTAAAGGGCTCTTGTATATCAGTTTCTGATAATGCATATGAGGTTACCAAGTGATGCAAATTTTATGGAAAAAGGTAGTAGAAAAGTTTGAGTTGTTGTCTTGACTGCAATGGTATCTATCTGGATATGTCCTTACAGCAAGCTAGAAAAAATGCAGAGGAACTTATAGCAGAAGAGGAGAAAAGGAAAAAAGCAGCAGAGAAGAGAAGAGCCAAGAAAAAGGTTTGTATTCACTGTTTTGTTCACATACATGTATTTGTTTTCAGTACAATATACCTCTGTGTGTGTTTTCTTGTGTGCTAGTGGAGGGGGGCAATGGTGTAACTGCAGATTGGAGTGACAGGAAATGGAGTTCAGAGGTGGGCTGACTCTTTTTATGTTAGAAACCACAATTTTTACTGGTGCTGGCTATTTACATTATTTTTTTTATATTTTACAGAGAAGAAAGGAAAAGAAAAGACAAGAAAAGGAAAAGCAGGGAAAAGAGGATATTGTAGAACCAGAAGAAGAGGTAAGCAACATGAATATAAGCAATGTTCCTTTTTTTAGTATTTTGAGTTACAACATGATCATGATTATTTTGAGAAAGGAAAGAAAATGTAATGCCTTATAGATAAAATGTAATGAATGGTTGGCTTTTTATCATGTGGTTACTTTTATGATTGCTACTGTGCATTGCTATCATTTGTTATTAGACTGGATACTACTAGTATTACATTTATAACAGCCATTATGAAACAATTTCTGTAAATTGCAGCATTCCAGTAACTTTGAAATTCTGTTCAGTTAGAAAGAATTTATTCCCAAGGGTTGTGAACCTTGCTTTAATAATTGTTTATTGAATGGTTGATTTGAATCTTGAATGTACTACCAAGCATTTTTGTTTTGATTTCAGGAAGATATAGATGACCCAGAAGATGCAGATAGTAAAAAGTCCTTCCACCAAACAGATAAAATACTAGCGAATGGGAAAGTTGAGTCTTCCACAAAAAATCCCAACGGTGATAGTAGAAATAAAAAGAAGAAAAAGGATAGCAAAAGGTATTTATATGTCCATACATAGGTGTTCAAGTATTGGGTTTCTATTCTTTATTGTTACGTAAATCACTTTGTAGTGCCTAATGAATATTCATGAGCTGTCATGATGCAAATAGCAACTCATTATCATATTTCCCAGCATCCCAAGTTGCGTTCAATCTGGATTTGACTTTGAAGAGGAATTTGTCTTTCCAGTATTTAATGACAATTTTTCATCCTAATGATAAGTTGGGCTGCAACAATAGATACATGAGAAAGTCAATAATGTATTCTTGTAACATATGCTGAGTATTTGGTGAATTTGTCGTGTCTTCTTTTTTGGATACGTGGAATTTTCTTGCTGCATTTTGCCAGGTAGAGCAGTTGTCAGCTTTTGATAGGGACCAAATTGTGACCAGTTATCCTTTACTCTGGTTTCCTTTCACCTCGCATAAATCTTTCGCCTTTTACTAAAGATTTCCGTGGAGGGGAACAATCAATGAGTCTATAACCAATTTTTCAAATGCCCTGCCTTGAGCAGGGCTCCTATTTAACAAAAGCAGTTCACACCCCTGCACACTGACAGCATTAATTGGTATTCACACAGACAATGTAATTGTACAGGTGATGTACAGCGACGTATGCCAAATGTGCGTAGCATCTGCAAAATGTGGAGTTGCAAAGTACAGCATCTTAAATACCACAACGTACCTGTTTGTACATTACTTTCAATGTCAATTTTTCTCTATTTTCAGGGTTGTGGAAGAGTCCTCATCTTCAGAAGAAGAGGTATAGTTGCTACTTACAAACCTAATCATCAAGACATATGATCATGAACGTAGTAACTGTTTACTTGTGTAAAACGGAACAGCATATGTTTTACACAGAGTACAACTGCAAGGTTTGATTCAGTATGATTGAATATGTGGTTTAATAGCTTTTCCTAGTGCTGTTGGAGTGGCTAACTACAAATACATTTATATATAAAGCAAGCCTTTGAAAATTGCCGGAGTATATCGTAGGAATAAATAAGAACATCTTTTAAAGTGTTGATATTAATTCATTACCCATAAGTTTCTTGTCCCTATATTGACTTATTCCCAGCTCTCTGGTAATTGCTTCCATGTTTCCTTGCAGGAGCCTTTTTTCGACCCAAATAGTGCATTTGTGGCCAACGCTGCCAAGAAAAGCGTGCAAGCTGCAGCAGCCTCCAGCAGCAAAAGTGCAGGCCCCTCTAAAAAGGAGAAGGCAGTTAATGGTCAGGACAGAGGTAGAAAAGAGAAAAAAGATCAAGAAGAAGAAACGGTAAGGACATGTATTTATGTTCTCTATAGCTGTTTGTAATGAGAATTCTTGTTGTTGTACATGTATACTGTCATTCCTAAGTAAAGTTATGAATAGAGCAAACTAAAAGAGAGTATGTCCTAGACTGTATAATGATTTTGAATTCATGTTGACCTCATTTTTATTATTTTTCTAAAACTAGAAATCAAGCTTTTATTTTTAACATTGTTCTATAACAATTGTTTTACCTTTGTACTGACATTCTCTTTGTTACAGATAGAAGAGTTAGATCCAGTTGTTTTGAAAAGCAGACAGATAGCAGGTTTGTGATAAATTCTCCTTGTACTTATGCCTGGTTAAAGTAATGCACCAATACTCCCTTCATCTATGTATGATCTTTGTTGCAAAAGAGGTAGAAGTACTTGATTTCTGACAGTGATATGTTGGATGTTGTTTCAGTACGTGGAAATGAAATGGCAAACCACGGGCATTATGGGAATGCAGTAGAGCTCTTCACAGCAGCCATTAAGTTGGACCCGTCAGACTTCAGGTGGGTGAGAGACATGTAGCTAGACCCTTCTTTAGAGGGCTATTATATTTATATGAAAGTTATTTCTGGTTCCAAATGAAAAGTGCTGCTTTGCAAAAAATGTTGTCTTTCAGCAGTTCGATCCAGCTCCTCTCTATCTGTTGCATTTTGTTATCGTCCAGGCTCTGTGCTAGAGCTTGTAATTCTTACGACAATCTGGCAATGTAGGAAAACACAATCAAAATGTGCCTCTGGTCCTAAAGGTTGGCCTGGCAAGTCCCAAGTGTCACATTGATGTTTTATTACAGGTATAACAGACCAGTTTCTCGGTGATTTCAGGTTCTTTGGGAATCGATCCTACTGCTTTGACAGGATGGGCCTCTATGACAAGGCTCTGTCAGATGCAGGCAAAGCCATAGATATTGCACCAGACTGGCCAAAAGGATACTTCAGAAAAGGTCGTGCCTTGGCAGGATTAAAAGTCAGTACACCTGTGTTTCTTTGCATGAGAAGTAGCAATGGAATGGTGTCTTTACATCTTGTGCATGTAAACGTTGCTACATGTAGATGTTTTCAATAGAAATGTTTACTGATGTATTCATTCTCGTCATAAAACCATTAACCACATTAGGCTGAACCAGAAATACAAATGTGAAAAGAGAACTAATTTACAGTCGGTTGTAATTTTTTCTTCCAGTTATTTGCAGATGCTGAACGAGCATTTGAAAAAGTGCTAAAACTGGACAGGAACTGTGAGGATGCCATGCAAGAACTTCTTAGAGTCAGGACTCAGCAGCTTATGGTAAGGGTCCTTTCCAAGAAATATGAACTTGACCTAGTTACTTCCAGGTACAGAAATATTGTTTAGGGTTGTGCTGGAGGTTTGTGTGTTTTTATGTCCAGACAGAGTAGGTTGACAGCATGTGGGTGGGTGAAGATTGACGGGCAGAATGACAGGTCAAAGGTTCAGACACGGGAAATGTGGTGAATTTGAAGAAGTTTGTAGAAGTACGATCTGGAAGGTGTCAGTGACACTCAATACTGTAAATTGTGTAACATTGACTCAGAGGTGGTATTATTTCACAGTAGGGGAGAAAAGAAGATTTTACTGTGTTTTAAATTCATAGTCATACAAGGCATGGCGTTTGTGTCCTCGGTGGAGAGGTCACTGCTTAAGTTTGATAATTTATAGTTTGACAATTTACAGTAGCAACAACATCTTTGACCTTTTTTTTAAAACCAGTAGCAACAACATCTTTGACCTTTTTTTTCTAAAACTGTGTACAGGAAATGGGCTTCTCCCGCCAACAGAGTGAACATGCCATCCGGGTGCATGGAACGGTTCAGGCAGCTTTAGACTCTCTACTAGCAGGTGTTGGTAAGTTGGCATCCACCCTTAAATCTTACAGCTTACTTTAAACACAGTCATGGTTTTAGTCATATTTTGGTGTTGCTTTTAACACTTCAAGTTGCATTTTGTTGCGACAAGACATACCAACGGACTATAACTTCAATGTATATGAATATGAGGCACAGCAGTGCACATTATGTATCACATCATGTAATGAATAATATGGACACTGAAATTTCATCCCTCTCTTCAGTTCAGGAATCTAGTCTTTCACAAGAAGTTTACCTGTCTGATGAAGAATTTGACCACTATAGCAACGTGCCTACATTCACTGAAGTCCTCCCATCGGGTACAGCCAGAGCTGGAAGGTAAGGCACTTGGAATGATGTGATATTGCCTCTATTTGTGAGCCATTTGTCTCCTTCTAGTTTGTCATCCTGTGTGAATTTACACAGGTTTTAGCTGGAACCTTGTGTACAATTTTTTTTGTAATGCAACCAGGTGTTTTTGAGAGTTATGAACACCTGTAAACAGTTTTCTAAGGATGATCAGTATTTTATTATTATAGAATAGTTTGTTGTGACAATAATTATGTTTCTATATTTCAGTACAAAACCTCCAGTGGATGGTGTCACGGCTTTGTGGGTAGGCAATGTCCTTCCCAAAGTCAAAGAAGAGCAAATAAGAAAATTATTCAAAAAGTAAGTAGTACCAAGATTTGTTTGTTTTTGCAACATTTTAGTGAATAGGAATTTTACTGTAACACTAATGTTAAATGCTACTTGATACAACTTCATTATCCTACTACGTGTCTTGGAATATTAGACTGCATGAAGGTTTTCAATTGATACATGACCAGTCCTCATATAGAGGTCACACGTTTTTGTATTGATGGTATCCATATGTATGTTGAATTTAGCCTGTTGTCACTCTGAAGACAAATCTGTAATGTTTTTTTTTCTGTTGTATGCAGATATGGGGAGATCACAAGTGTGCGCATGCTGTCCGACAGATACTGCTGCTTTGTCAACTTCAGATCAAAAGATGCCGCAGACTTGGCAATGAAAGGGCTACAAGTAGGCATGAACTACTATTACATCTTGCAACTGTTTGACTACATTTTTATTCAAAGGAAGCGCTGAGGATTTTTTCCTTCCTGTACGCTCTCATATATCAATGTTTGATTTGGGCATGTTATTTTGCAGGGACATGAGTTAGAAGGGCAACACCTCCTGATAAAGTACCCAGACAACCCTATAGTAAACGGGCAGCGAACCACGGTCCTGAGGAAAACAAACATCGCCATCCCCACAACAACACCTGCCACCAGCACTGCCACAGTCAAGCCCACCTCCACACTCCCACAGCAGCCCAAACCTAAACAACCTGCCAACAACCAGAAGGGCCAGGGGAACAAGGAACAACAGAGGGAACAGCAGCAGTCACGGTAAGGGACCGGGCTGTCAGTTTAACCTTCTTTCTGCTGCCTAACTCTGTAAACCATAAAATCCAATTGCCTCACCAATACTGCAGCTAGTTTACACTGGTTTGGGACAGTGATCAAGTTGAGCTAACATTTGAGAAAATGGCTGTTATTGTATGACTGCTGAAACTGCAACCATTCTGCAATATATCTATCAAGTTCAGTACACTAATGTTTATAAAACAAGCATATCACCAAAGTAAACAACAAGAACCGAACATAGGTATGCTAACTTTACAAATACAAATACATAGACAGTTCTACACATGTTCTTCTTGTCAACTTCTTTCCTTTGTTCGTCACACTGGTGTTGTACTTTCATGCATATGGTCCCTAAATTATTGATATGTCCCATGAGGCTGTTGTTAGAAACATGTGTTCCTGTATCTATAACTGACCACACCCTTGGTTACCTTGCAGTGGGAAAGGGAACCCAGCTGTGCAGGTGGCTCAACAGAACAACATGTGAGTTGTGTAATATTTCGGGTTGGGGCAAGGTCCTAGTCTTGCTATTCCACAAATAGTGTGGGAACAATTTCCCATCACTGTCATTTTATTTTAATCCAGAATACATGTATACTGTAACATTGAGTCATGTTAGGCCTAGGAAATCATATTGTGTTTGCAGTTACCCGATTAACCATAGCAAAAACCTGACTGTTGAAAAGGGACATCAAATTTTTTATCTGAGTGATAAAAACATTATAGAATAGTTTTCTAACATGTTTCAATTGACTGATGCATTTCAGTTTTACATTGATAAACTGTATTTGTTTGATCTTAAAATCCTTGAAAAGAAAAAAAAGAGTCTAACCAGCACTAATTTTTTTCAGGTCTTGATTTCAAAACGCAACATTGATTTTCCTAGGCCTTACCAAATACTCCCTTATTCAGTGTCAAATCAACTCTGCTTTAACAGCCTATTACAGCTAGACTTGTGGGGTGTAAGTGGATGACTGCAGCTAGACTACTGCAGCCATGTACATATCCAACCCTGTACCCAACACTGATGCCTCTTTGCCCGGTTTTTATTTCCAGGCGGACACAACAGCACACCCAGGCTCTAGAACTGTGAGTGGTTTATACCCAGGGTTGGAGGTGGTGTGGAGAGGGTAGCATACCTGTCAAGTCTCTCAGTTGTTCCTGTTTCCTGGTCTATTGTAACAACTGCTACACTTTTTCCAAGTGTATTTACAATACAAACATGCTGTGACAAAAAGGAATATTAGCTTTGGTTGCTCTAAAAGGCCAAAGCCATTAGTCACCTTTGAAATGTAAAATATATTGTAGCTATTGCTACAAATGTTGTGTAAGTAACAAAGGAACTGCAAAATGTTGCAAAGTAATAAGAGAAATAAAATTACGGTAAAATGGCTTCCTCTACAAAACAGATCTCGATACTTGACAGATATGTGATCCAATGGTAACATTTTAGTTCAGTTGTCCACCATATACAGGTGCACTTTGTTGATGTCTGTTTTAAATTTTTCCACAAGACTGCCCATCTGCAACATACAGTGTTAACACTTACACTGTATTTTTTAATTACATGTACTCTATCTAAGTAAGTTAAAGCATTGCAAATTGTAAAGAAGAAGACCTCTATCATATATACAATAACTAAAGCTTTGGTCTATATTATTTTCTCTTAATCACCTCTGATGAAATACAGGAGTAGATTTTTAACTTGAGAAAAGGTCTATGATTGAAGGATGTACTAAATGTATAGTGCAGATTCTAATGATCCTCACCTGGATTTTGTTATACCCTTCAGGTCAATTTGTTTCTTGGTAGAAATGGAACAATAAATGCTTGCCACATAGCCTTTACAAGGTTGGAAAAACACATGTAGCCTTCCCACATAGTATTCTGGTAACTGCTGTGATTTCTACAAACACTCGTGCCTTTGGGTTTGTTTTATCTGTCTGCAGGGACAAGAAGTCAGGGCCAGTAAAAACATCCAACGGAAACGAGTGTTACTTCTGGCGGACGACCGGCTGCCATTTTGGGGACCGCTGCATCTACCAGCACATTCCAGAGAGCAAGGGCTGTGAGAAGAAGCCCTGGCATAAATAGCCATTCCCTCCCTCCACACTCACACATCTGCATACTTACAATGCCACATCCCGGAATAAGCTTACACAACAGTGCTAGAAGTGTTGGGGATATCTGAAGCACCTGGAATGTACATGTAAAGTCCAGGTCACATACATCATACAATAGGAGGTTTTCTGCAATGATAGACTGATTGGGGAAGAAATTGGTTAAACCATTGCACCCATTTCATCTCTAACCTTCAATATGCTGCAATATCATTTGCAAAAAAGCAACATTATGGGTACATCATACAATGTGTGTGACCTGGGTGTAAAGAAAGACCCATGGCTGCTTGTGAAAGCCGGCCTAGGTCTGGTAAGGTACTATTGCAGGTCTTGTATTCTGACGAAAGTGTAGGCTTCATCCTGGTGCAACAGGACACTCCAACACTTCTACTGAAATTTGTGGTTTTGTTGATGTTGTGTTTTTTGTAGACTTGTGCCAGCTGACAACTCAGTGTCTCTGGATATAAAGGATTAACCACTTACTCAGACACTGACAAGTGTTATCTCTTGAGATAATAACTACCACAGTATAAACATGCTACTTTTGTTTACCCAGCTGATAGCCTCAGTCACAAGTACTGAAGTACATGTTTGTTAATAGTTGTCCGTCCTAATGAAGGCCATTCCTTTGGTGAAATATGCAATGTAGTATACAGTATTAGGCTATGAATAATTTATTCTTCATGATAATCATCATACTTCAGTTGGCTTGACATTGTTAGTAAGTATGGTCCTTTCCATCTGCTTTTTGTTTGGTTTATCTGTGTTAAGTAAATGTGCGGTTGAATTTCAGTGTGGAAAACCTACCAATGGATATAAGTGTACTCATGACAGCTCAGCTCATTCAGATTGGCCATGTATCTGAAGTACCCAGTATTTCGAAGGTTAAGAGCACAGAAGCCCATTTCTCTGAGTCCATTCCTATGCAATCAGATGAGTCCAACTGACAAATTGTTGTGACCTAAGAGGTTAATGTACCACTCTACATTTAACATTTTAGTGCAAGAGTATTCCCACAATTGGCACTGCAAGTTGGACAAAGTAGCCACACAGGTAAAGGGTTCAACTGCTTCAGCCCAGTCACATGAATGGTGCATCTTTGATAGAGGCTTTCTACGAGAATATTGCTGTACATTTTAGATTTGAAAAGAAACGGGTGCAACAGTTTAAAATTAAACCATTGCACGTTTCTTCTCAAACCAATCATGCATCATGATATTGTCAGAGAATTGAATCTTAGGTGCATCACACGATGTAGGAGACTGAGGCCTTACATTGAGTACAAGAGGATCTTTGTGAGGGGACTTTTGGCCAGTTATATCTGACATTTTGCACAACTTAGGTTCCCAGCTTAACATTCCTGTTATTCACCAGACAGTGCTCATTCTGAAGTACCTCTGATGCTCTGGTACAATACTGTTCAAATCTATGTAAACTATTCTAATCTGTCTAAGGCATTCCATGTCAAACTTTTGTCTGATTTTGCATCACAAGCTCTTTGAGGTCTGTTACAGGATTTGTTTGCCCCTTGATTCCATATTGCTATATTGTGATATGATGCAAGATGTAAAAGTATTATTGAAAAGACAATTGTACTTTCTGTCAAATCTTTGGATACCCAGTGGTTGCTCAGCCAATGAAATCAAGTTAGGAAGCCTTAGTGCAGATGTTGACTTGAGTCCAGAGCCTCAAAAACAGTAGGTCCTGGCCTGGAGTCTTGCAGCTGGACAATAGATTATGCAGGTTTCTCACCACAAGCCCACCTAGGTTCCAAGGTAGCATGGGACCAATTCATAGCATCCATTTCCAATGTTTCTGTATTGAAGTGAAGAGTTTCTGTAATCATGATTGAAATATCAATTCTATCTACTGGTTGAAATTATTGCCCAAGCGTAGCCAATCAAGTTAAACGTTTATTATTTACTAAACAAAACATTTATATATTTTTTGTTTTCTTTGTGCACACAGTTGTGAATATTGCTGATTTTTGTCAGGCAACCTAAAAGGGATGGCCAGGAAGGGTCTGAAGGCATGTGAAAATGTACCTACAATTTTGGTTTTCCTGCCAGCTTCTGATGACATTTTGCGGGTCCATCTACCTTTTTGTCAGGACTTTTGTGCAAATTGGTACATTTTTATTTCTTAACTTGCAGTTTTGACCATTTTTGCGCCACAAGTCCTTCCTGGTCTACCCTTAATAGTATGTGTGCTCCAGTTTGGAGTAAAGTTACACAGTATATAAGTTGTTTATGATAAGTAAAGCTATGCATTATTACACTAGAAACGAAAAATTACTAACCCTTGAAGTGCATATTAAGTGCATATTGTACATGTACTCCAGGGTTGCAGGGCTAGGCTCCAAAGTCAATGTGATTTCCTCTGTGATATTTGTTTGTACAGAAGTACACAATTTTTCCATCTTGTTATGGCAAAAGATGTGATGGGATAAGCTATGTGGAGAAGCCATCCTGTGATGTGAGTGGAAATGTGACAAACTTTGAGATGCCAATCCTTATACATAGCTTAACACAGTGCCAAGATAGTTGTAGCTTTATCTAATCAAGATAGACTTAGAAGTACCTTTATTGTTTATCCATTCAGATTAAATGCAAGGTCATTGCCTCAGCTAAGTGGAAATTCTGCATTATACTCGTACAAGAAAAACTTTGCATATTGGAAATGAGTAAATGTTTGTAAATGGAGATATGTTTCACAGGGTATTTTCTGCATATCCAAGTCAAACATATACAGTCAAACTTAGTGACCGCTGAAAGGACAATGGTCACTGTAGACTGGTAGCCTCTGTAGACAGGAGTGTTACTGCTTGGGGCAATCATAAAATAATCCAAGTGGCCACTAAAAAAGTGGTCACAATGGCCATGTGGTTCTCATGCAGAGGTGGTCACCAGTACAGGTCTGACTGATCAGTTCTGAAGGTTTGACACAAGCTGAGGCAATACCTTAACACCTTTTTGTTCCTTCTATGTAAATGACATAATTGAATATTTTTCTGTCAGATAAATGGATGGTTCTCTGCTCATGTAACACACGAATGTTGCTAACAAGATGAAGCAAAATATGCATCTGATTTTTATACTGAATGACAGGTGACAATATCTGGCTTAATAAACAGCTTTATGCAGAAAGGTGTCATTAGTGGTTGAACAGTCATAGTGTAGTGTGTCCTGGAACTTTCAGCAATGCTTAATACCTTGAAAAGACTTAAGGTGCTGTCAATTTCAAAGTAGGATGTGCGATTTTGACTTTATGCCTAGGAAAAAAATGTTTCCGACCAACCCTAGAAAAAACTTCTGACCCTAGCCTTTTTTGTGGACCCCTGCAAGGGGCACATAATTTTCAAACTGATCAACCTTTTCTAGCTCCGTGATTAGACACCTGAAAGATGAAATGTACGATTGGCTCATAATAAATTTCCTGATGCAGTAGAAAAAGTTAATATATAAACACCCACACCCAAGTTCCATTCAATGATGACACAGGGATTTAATTAATAGGATTGGAACAGTTATGTATAGAGATCTCTGAAGTCTAAAAAAAGAAAGCCTACCAACCCTGATTTTTTTTTAGGACTGAAACAGAAAACACAAGTTTTTTTTCCCTAGGCCTCACAGTAAACCTGTAACAAGACCAACTGCCAACAAGAATCCAAGATAGCTTTCTATGAAACATGACCACAGAAAAGAGAAAAATTTTACTTGGGGAAACCAGAAAAAAGTTGACCTCTATATAACACACATCAAATCTTGAAACAAGTTACAGTTGCGCACAAATCCTGAATATTAGACTTCTGGGTAAAATCTCTAAAAATAAGGAAATCATGAAAGATCTTATCCAAGCCAATTCATCAAGAAATATGGAAGAAAGTCTTTTCCAAAGTCTCGCAGACTAAACCATTCCTAATCAAAGCATAAAACCTACATAGTGAGTATAGCCTAGCTAGCATGTACTATTAGAAACTGTTGCTCCTTTAACTACATATTGCAGTGCAAGATTCATTCAGACATCATTCTTGTGCCAAATGCTAAAACTGGAAATTGCAGCTATTGGTACAACAATATCTTCCATTGCAGCTACTTGTACAACAAATTTTCCATGACGTAGTCTAGTCTCGTACATTTTGTTAAGTTCGGACAGGTGGCTCTCCAATTAGCCCAGAGTCTGTGTATTTCTCATCAGCCATTGCAGCGCCTCTGGTCTTCCCTGTAACTCCAGCTCCTTCCCAACAACCTCTCTGCACGTGGTGTGGTAGTCATCCAACCAGCTCACCTGATAAGTGGGGAAACCATAGAATTCATTATCATCTTTAAACCTACAGCAAACTAGGTGTATAGGTATTTGTTTACTTCTTCTTACCTCCATGTGTGGAGACATTGTTCTATGCGTGTCTGTGAGTGAGTGAGAGAGTTTGCTTGTGTCTATAAGTATTTGAAGGACAGTACTGTACATGGGTGGTTGCCTCACTACAGACCACAAAAGATCAGGCACAGGAAATGTGTAAATGGAGAAATTTACAATGCAAAAAAATCAAGAAATTTTGGCCATTTAGGAAATATTGGTAAAACTAGACGCTGCAATGGATGACAATAAGAATGTGCTATGGCATCTTTGATCCAGATATTATACATGTATGTCCTTACATACCTCCTTTTCTGTCAACATACTGGGTTCCAGCATTTTGGTTTGGATGGGAACAAGGGTCAGGGGTTCAAAGGTCAGGAAACCTTTGTCCTTGAAGTTAAACTGAAACAGAGAATGAACAAGAAACATATGACAGATATCTTCCATTCTATATCAAGGGACAATCCATGACAAGGCACAAGTGAGAACACTTATTCTAGTAATAGACCAATCCCAGAGCCCCACCCACTTGTCAAAAGGTGGAGATGCAGAATAAAAACAAAAAAGTGCCAAATGTTTGACATGCAGCTACTTTCCCTTTAGTCAAACCTTAATTGCCATTCTATCATTGGTTGGACTGCTAATTGTGAAGGACACATAGGATTGGTCAATGCTACACAGAGAAATTAAGAAACACCTGGAGGCCACTGTAACCACAGATGTTCCAACAGTACCTTTGTTTCAGTTGACTTGACAAGGACAACATTCTCTATCCTGATGCCAAAGGCTCCGTCCTCATAATAGCCTGGCTCTGGTGTGAAAAACAATGACATTTATATTTAGTAAATCTGTACAAACATATTTCATGGTAACCAATACAAAATTTACTTCTGATTGAGGTTTTTCTGCACTATGCCTCCCAAATGTTGTGTTTTTATCTGCCATCTGAAGGGTTACAGTATAATTGATGGTTGATTAGAAAGACACAAATTACCATCGGTGACAATCATGCCTGCCTCCAACGTTGACTCTGTCAGGGATAACCTGGCACTGATGCCACAGGGCCCTGTAAGACATGTTCAACAGGTAAGAAAATTTACACTGCATTTATTTGTCACAAATGGAAAAGGAACAAAATATAAGCTGCAATTCTACACATCTTCTCACAATCCCTGTAAACCAGACCAGACGGCGGTACCTTCATGCACGTTGAGGAAGGCTCCCACGCCGTGCCCCGTGCCGTGGAGATACTCCAGCCCCACATCCCAAAGGTGCTGCCGGGCAAGCGTGTCCAACTGGTGTCCTGCTCACAAAGACACAACATTGACGGCTTTAGGCTAGGCCACTTCATTTCATTGGTTTGGGGACATATTAGGGGATAATATAGCTAGACGACATCAGAAAAGCAGAGGTGGGCAGGGAAACGTGGACCTAAAAAATGTAACATTCAGTCTTTACCTTTGATCCCATTGGGGAAGATGGCACTGGAGAGACCGATGTGACCCTTCAGTACCCTGGTGAAACACTCCTGTAGAACAGGACACAAAACTTGTTGTCACTTTTCTCCTTGTCTCAGTACACAACCAGTAGTTACAACAGGTAACTCAAGTGCATCAAACTTCTCCTAGACAAATCTTGTACCGTAAATAGTTTATTTCACCATAGAATGGAAAGGGAGGTTTTCATTGTGTTTTGAATTCGGTGTTGAAATAACTCTATAGAACTGTACAGTGGTCATACCAACAAGTCATACACGTATTCACAGTGCCAATAATTGTGGTGGAGAGGTCACCATGGAAAACAGCGAAACAAAACCACAGTGAGAGTTTCATGATTTATACTAGGCACCAACGGCATCAACTGCATTTTAAAAGAAGAAATAGAGAAGAAACCAGTATGGCCAACCTTTTCATGTTGTGATGGAGTCCCAAAGTGCACAGTCCTTGTGACATCTGTGGTGCCATCTCTGCAAAGTAAACTCTAGTGAGAAGTGTGTGACCAGTGGCAATTTATTACAATTATATGTGTACATATGAACATGGTATTCTGGGCTTTGCGTGCCCTTTATTTCCAGCCCTGATGATTTTCACTGCATGTTCAAAATAAAGATTTGTCACATTTCTCACCAAAATGAGGAAAAAGAAGGCCAACTACAAAGTCAGTACACTATCAGTTTAACAACTGGTGCAAAATCAGTATGCTGACAATCAAACATCAGTCACAAAGCCACTTTAACATCTAATAACATAAGGTTGTACTGACAGCTTACTAACTCCTTACTAGAAGTAGTAGTTGACAGGACACTAACTGCTGAGCCTCTGCTACAATACTGACCCTCACCTGTACTGAGCACCAGAGTCACACAGGTACAGCTCATGGGACGTCAGGGTTTTTGCAGTTTCCTTTGAGGGCCTGTGTTAAAGAAGCAGCAGGTATCAATTACACATGCAAACTACAGATGCAAAATGGCTAACATGATTAGATGCAACATAAGAGGCAAAGTACTACTTACATGGAGAACAAAAATGTACATGGGACCCTTACAACACAACGGCCGTATGTAAAAACTGAAACATAATGGGGCACCTATAATCCAATCAAATGAGAGACAAGAGAATTTTCCTCTTTCTGTACCAAGTACATTTGTTAAATGTAGTGTTGTTATATACGTGATGTACATTACCTGTAATGGATAATAGCACCATTGGACCCAACTCCTGAGATAGTGTCAAAACTAAGGCTAACAAAGTCCTCCTGCTCTCTGCAAGAAAAGGGAAACTGTAAGATTCACACACTAAACTGTTGCAGTCTAATAAAAGATACAGATGGGTAGAAATAGATACTAAAATGTCTTCAAGTTCTAATGAATGGCTAGTCGTATTATGATGAAGTGCCTGAAACAAGATAAATGTTAATACTGTGCTGTAATGAGAACACAACTGACCTCCTGAACTGCTCCAGTCTGTCTGCTGCTGTGACCTCATTCAGTTCACCCTTAGGAACCTGGGTAAGAGATCAGTCATGTGACCAGGTAAGAGATGAGTCATGTGACCAACCATGAGATGGATCATCGAGCTCCAGCATCATAAGTTAAAACTGACTTTCCTGCTACATGTAGATGTATAGTATGTATAGTATATGTAATACAAACCTCTTTTTCCAGCCAAGCAAAATATTCACATAAGGCAACAGCATCTTTCACCTGCAGAATAGAGAACATTGTGAGAATAGAAACTGAAAACCACTTCCGTCAAGTCTTTGCACTTTCTATTTCCAATTATATGTACATTTATACATGCAAATTGTACGAAGGAAAGTTGTGTTGTATCAGCAAGGAGATGAAACTTCGGAAAACTCACATGAGCTCTCCTCATACACTTGATTTCTGTGTTGTTCTTCTTGGCTTTGTTCAGACATAGAGGAGACTGCTGGGTCAGTCTCACATTCTGCAAGATAAAACATATTTCTTCTTCTGTAACCATGACAAATATACCATGACATTAACTAATGAAAAGGCTCCATTTTGCTATAAACAACAGTCATTTTTACACCATATACATATGTGTGTTGCCAAATTAATTTTTCTGTAGCATCTATCGACTGAATACTCACATCAGGAACTACGTTGCCCAGTGCAGCACTCCCACGGTCACTCAGCCATATCTTCTCCTTCCCAACCTCCTGACATGCCACTGGTCAGAGTGAGGATTCACAGGTTATTACAGGCCTAATCTTGGGTCTCAGATTCTTTTCTAACCTTCCTTACTATCCTTGGTATTGGGGCAAAGTGATAAAACTATGGCTTACTTTATGAAAAGCACACATGTACATTTTGTACTACATATGTCCATTATGTAGATAAAGAAATCATATCTCAGATTATCTTTCCATTGTGAACTTATATATCATTACATATTTTATTGAAAATATATTAGTTCATTAGTTGAGGGTGGTACAATAATTCTATATCATTTATCACATATCAGTTATTACATAAAATTCTGATAAAGAGGCTTCTTCACCTTTCAGCTGAGCTATGATGTCATCATACGGGAGGATCTCCACCTTCATGTAATCCTCTGTGTTCTTGTCTGCATCCAGCATCAGGTGGGCTCGGGCAGCATTGTCTAACTTGGCCTCATCAATAAACAACCTGCAGCAGGAACGTTATAGATTCTCAACAACAGAACTGGTGTGACACAAAATTTCTCTACATGAAGTTAGAAACTTTTACGATACATTTTGATTGGAGGCTCACACCAAGACATTACCCAGACCACTTTTGAGAAGTGTTGTGAGCTATTTAAGTTTAAGATACTGTCTGGAGCTGTATTTTTCTGTAATTAAACACATGACACATAGCCTACAATGCACTTTTTGTCGTTTAGTGGTCTGTGGATACTAGTAGGGAATTCCCCCTATCCTGCACTGCAACTCAACTGTCCTTACCAGTAGAATGCATAAATAAAACCCTATTTCATACACTGATAATGTGACAAACTTACTTGACATACTCCTTCCCAATCATGGCATAAGAGAAGAAGACAGGGTTGAAGTCAATGTCCGAGCCTCTCAGGTTAAAAAGCCCTGGAACAAAGAAATTGCTGTAGCACATACTTGCAACTGTCAAGCCACCATCAGCTTGCGCTTTGCAACAGAATCACTAGCGGCTGTACTTAATGAGGAGTTAGCATCAGAAGTACGGTTTTTAAAGGCAAACTCATCTCTGTATGCTGTTTTTGGCTACTTATCAAGCAAACATCAGCATCTACAGACTTAAAGAAATTGTACCGTGCAATCAAGCATACGTGCTCTTACTGACTCTGAGTAAGCCAACCAAGCAAAATGTACATGTAATACTAGTAGATAAACTCACATGCCACCTCATCCAGGGCTGTGACCACCAGGACAGCAGCTCCCTTCTCCTTCATCTGGTCCCGAGCCTGATGAACTTTGTCTTGCCATGGACAACCTGGTCATCAAGATAAGGACAAGAAATGTTGAGTTTTAGTCAATTTCTTGTTTTTATTCCTCATTGTATGGCTATGCATTTGCCACTGCATCTGGCCATCAGACTACTGGAAAAACTTCCTGCTGGCTCATGGCCTTACTTCCTGTGTCTGACCTTTTGTTTCTGAGGTTAGGGAATTCCCCCACCCATATGCTGCAACTCAATTGTACAAACACACAGCCAAACACACCCAAGCAGTTCAAGTTTTCCACTGCCATACATACCTGTGTACTTTGTGCTTAACACCATTAAGGTATTAGAGGGCAGTTCAGGGCGGTCATCCCAGACCAGATCAACCAGGTTCTGGTCAGCTGCAACCAGTTTGTGTCCAGATGATTCAAGTTTGCTCGACAACCTTTTCCATTCATCTGCAAACAAAAAGTAGTTTTAATACCAGCAAAGAAGCAGATTCATAGCAAACATATATGTACACTAGGTTTCCTTCCTGGCATACACTATGCCAATAAAAAATCAGAGATTTCAGATTTCTAGGAAGCATTTTTGGTTTATATGACCTTCAGAGCTCCAGGAAGTGTTTTGGGTTTTCTTGACTGTATTGGAACTGTGGATGGGACTGTATGATGTATTACACCACTTCCTGAATTCCTCCACATATCACCCACTTACTCCCACCTGGTGCCACCCAATTAGCCAACAAAAACAATACACTTCCATACCTGGAACAAAAGGCTGGAAGTCACAATAATTTTTCATTGTAACGTCACATACCTATGGACAAAAGGAATGGGTCTACTCCAACTCTTGCACCCTCAGGAAGAACCTAAAACAAAAACAGAAAACAAATATGCACAAAAGCACTTCTAGCGACTGTATTCAAATCTTCATTCATTACCCATCAATCTGCCATGGATTGGGATATGCTTTCTACCTATCTCTTTCTACTAATACTGTACTAGGTTACTACCTGTATATATTGCAAAAGCAAGTTATTCTACATACCTTCACAAGCCAGTCTTCTTGGGAAAGTGTTTTAGACATTCCTACAGCAAGATAGATGCACAGTGTGTTATGGTTCATCCCGTCATTGAAGATACTGACTATGAGAAATTCAAGGGGTAAGACATACATGGATTATGGAAACACCAGTGTACAAGAAAAAACTTTTACCCATTTTCATCAGGGTCCAGTTGTTGTCCATCTGCTGGATAGCCTGTAGGAAATACCTGTACAGACAAGTAACATGATGACATAACATCATTGCAAGTTTTAGCTGTATGGCTAAGAACAGGTAGCAAGTTCCAATGCTGTGCTCTTGGATAAGGACCTAAGAAAAAAATGTTTCCTGTTTCCTGGTCGACTATAGAAAAACCTGCAGAGTGCCGACCCTAAACTTTTTTTGGGGTGGACAGTGGACCTCTGCAAGGAAATTTTTTGAGCTGATCAACCTTTTCTAGCTCCATGATCTGACACCTTATTGATGAAACATTGTACAATTGGTTTTCTAACATTGAGGCCACACCAATTTAATTTGTTGGTTCTCGGATTCGCCTCTTCATTTTTTTCTGATTTGCAAAAAAAAAAAAAGATTCTGGTTCTGAATCAACTCAAAAATGCTCATATTTTGCCCCCAACAGTTGTGGAAAGTCCTTTTCTTCCTAGCTGTTGCAGTGTTTCCATCTATCAATGCAGTGGTTTGATTAAAAGTTCAAAATTCATTGTTTAAATATTAACACAACCTTTTGTGTTGACTTCATGGCTCCTATCATAGCATTTGGGGCTATAATAGGATGCCTAAACCTGTTTTTATTTTTTTTTTTTTTCGCCATTTCTGACAAAATCCGAGAACAAACAAATTAAATTGGTGTGGCCTGACATTGAAAATAAAAGTGTCCTCATGCAAGTTTTACTTTATTAAACTGTATTGTATAACTTATAAGTTGGACCCCTATCTAAATATCACTGAAGTCTAACAAAAAAGAACAAAAAAATATAATCCCTACCTACCTACATACCGGCCCTAATTTTTTCAGGACTGAAACAGGAAACACAACATTTTTTTCTTGACTCAGGTTAAAATAAGTACTGGAACACCTATAGCAGGCTAAGAGAGAATTGATTACCTTCCATCTGTCCACATAGCTGCATGTTTCTCTGTGACAATGGCTGTTCCTGCTGAGCCAGTAAAACCTGAGATAAATCCCCGCCTCATGTCACAGGGCGCAATGTACTCGCTCTGCAATGGAAGGAAACATCTTGAGAGATTTTGTTTTCAATGTGTCTGTTTCTGCGTATACTTATGTTTCTGTTTATATTTCCATATGCTAGGCGGATCTGGGTGGACACTAACAGGAAGTAAGGTATCATATGATATTGTATTGGGTGGGCCTGCTGCTCTCTCTTTGCAGCCAAGGGCTTTCCTGTCTTCAATCTCCTGCCTTATTAGAGCCAGCTGGGAAAATGTATAGACAGAATCACTTAAAGAGGAAGAGTAAGAAACCCACAATAATGAATAAAACAAAGAAATTAACAAAATCTCTAAATATTTCATGGGTTAAACTTTATAAGATTCTTGTAAATGTTTACATACGTGGTGTGCGTCTCCTGATGGTATGATGTAGGCGTTCAACTTCTCACAGACATATTGGTTGTTCTTCATCGCAGCCCGCAGGCGTTGGAGCAGGGCAGTTGTATTCTTTGTAGTCATTTTGTATCCTTCTATGGATGGGAAACAAATCTAAGTTTATTAACTTAATTAAGGGGGGTCTGCAAGCCCTTTTTCGTATTAAGGCGTAATCAGGCCTTTTTAGTCTTCGTAATCCGTTGGCAGCCTCCCCAAAAATCAACGTACTGTAGTTCGTAATTAATATACATTAGCCGCTAAGCGTAAAGTCCTAATCAGCTCTGAGACTAATAATTTCGTAATCGGCGGCACTACCGGGACCGCACTACCCCCTCAGTCATGGGTACCCAGTCATGTAGGCCTTTGCTTTGTTTCATAATCCAACGGGTTACGATGTAAATGAATTATGTCCCCTAGTCGTGGCGACTGATGCAGGGTTTCTCTTGCTTGCAGTCAATTGTAGGTCTTCAAGCGAAAGAATCCAGTCTACAGCCAACAGTCGCCACGACTAAAGGAAAGAAGCGCTGCAACAGATGCATGTGTGTGAGCATGGCTAGGATCGATAACGTGGGTACGGTGAACACGCGTCCTCTCACTTTGGGAGCAAATTTATCGATATAGGAACATAGGCCTACCTGATTGTTTCCACCTCTGATCGAAAACAGCTCAGAGCTCTCAAAACACCCAGAACTCACACTGTGGGATCTAGATATTAGTTTATTAGGTTATTTTTCTGCATCAGCTGCAAAATGAGGCTCGCAAAATATTTACAAACCGTCGGCCATCTTGGAAACTACCCAAGGTCCAGTTCGTAGGTCATGGCCCCAGAGCTGCGCACTGATTGGTCAACTTTTCAACATCCGGGGGATTTAAATTTTCTTAGCAGCTCCAACGGCCAGATTTTGCTTCAGTCCGACCTCAGAGCTTCATGTTTGCAGCTGACTTGAACTTTTCACTGCACAAGGCCTGATATTGCACGTAAGACCCTTCCTTTTTGTTGATAAGCGTTTTACTTGGTGGTTGAGGTGATAGGAATTCAGGCAAATTCTGTGAGGTGAAGCCGACCTCGTAACTTGAAAATTATTATGTCTTAGTAGATGAGTAGAGTAGATCTTTCGTCTCGGTAGGAAGTTCTCTTCCACTTTGAGCCGCTCCTTGTAGTTTACTGCGTAGACATGGTCATCTTGTGGGGGTTGTCCAATGCCCGGGGGTTGTACACCACTGGATGACTTCTCATGTGTTTGTCCAGTCTATTTTTAAAACTGTTCACACTTGGGGCTGACACCACCTCTTCCGGTAGACTGTTCCACCATGTTACTACCCTGTTGCTGTAGAAAAACAGTCTTTTGTTGTTCTTCACTGATCTTTTGTTTAGTCGTAAGCTGTTCCCTCTTGTTCTTGTTTTTTCTTGTCATTTTTGGTAGGCAACCCTCTGTGTCCAGCTTCCCATGAATGTACTTGTAGGTCATGATCATGTCCCCACGTATTCTTCTATATACCAGTGTCGGGAGCCTAAGCACCTTAAGTCTCTCCTCATATGGTA